CTGTGATATATTGCAATTTGATTAAAATTATTTCAACTTATAAAACTAAATCAGCAAAAAAGTATCATAAAGATTTAAGAGATTTGTAGGAAGAAAAAAAAGCATTAAATGTCTGGAATGGGAATTCACCATGTCTTCTGGAGTATCTGAAATTTTAGTTAAAAATGGTAACATAATAATTGTCTTTCGGAAATTGTGGTAGACCACTTACGCAGTTCTTAAAAGCAATATTTTGTCATTCTTTGCTCTGAAAATGTTCCTTGAAAAGGTTGAAAGCATAAAAAGGCAATTTGTGTTATAATAAAGAGTATTCTTGAAGGAAATTAACTCTGTGTTTTAGAGAAATGTACAGCTCATGGACATTTTTTGAACTGAGTAGTGACTAAACAGCATACAAGCAAAGGTTTTTGACTAACTTAAGATGTGCGAAAAAAAGTATTTGATGAGATATATAAAACAACATATTAGCATTGATTGTGAAGCCTGTTGAAATATGACATAAACCATATACAGGAAAATGTTCAACCCCATTTTTAGGTCACCTGAGTTTACTCAGGTGACCTATTGCTATCTGTTTTCGTCCGTCGATTTGCATCGTCTGTCGTGCGTTAACATTTGAACATTTTCAGCTTCTTCTCTGGAACCACTGAACCAATTTCAACCAAATTTGGCATATAGCATCTATATGTGAAGAGGAGTAAAAATTATGAAATTCATGACCCTTACCCCCCCCCCCCCCCCTTGGGGCCTGAGGGGTGGGGCTAAAACCATTAAAATTAATGCAATCTTTAAAAATCTTCTTCTTTACTCCTGGACATCAAGCAGGAAAACTGTTAGCATGAATGTAATAACCATTGAGTTCTCTACCTAAATTGTGAAATTTATGGCCCAAGGGTCAGGGGTTCTGGTGCTAGGATGGGGCTCTGTTGAATATGTAGTGAAAATGCATTATTCTTAAAAAATCTTCTCCTCTGCTCTTGGGTATTAAAGAAACAAACAGTATGGATAGTTATGATGAGGAAAGGTGTCTCTTCTAAAATTGTGAATTTCATGGCCCCTGGGTCGGGTTCTGGTGTTAGGGCGGGGATCTAATGATTATATAGTGAAAATGATTTAATTATTCAAAAATCTTCTCCTCTGCTCCTGGGTATTAAGCCGATGAACTAAGTACATAGTTATGATGAGAAAGAGTGCCTCTTCCAAAATTGTGAATTTCGTGGCCCAAGGGTCAGGGGTTCTGGTATTAGGGTGGGGCTCTGTTGAATATATAGTGATAATGCATTATTTCTTTAAAAAGCTTCTTCTGTGCTCTTGGATATTATGAAAAAATAAATACATAGTTATGATGATGAAAGGTGCCTCTTCCAAAATTGGGAATTTCATGGCCCCAGGGTCAGGGGTTCTGGTGTTAGGGCAGGGTTCTGTTGAATATATAGTGAAAATGCATTATTTCTTTTAAAATCTTTTTCCTTGATCCAGGGCAAACAAACTGAATGCATAGTTATGATGAGTTAGGGTGCCTATTCATATATTATGAATTTCATGGACCCTGGTCAGGGGTTCTGCTTTAAGGGTGGGGCTCTAATGATGACATAGTAAAAATGTAGTAATTCTTTGACAATCTTCTCCTTTTCTCCTGGGTATTAAGCTGAGAAACTAAGAGTATAGTTATGATATGTAAGGGTGCCTGTTCAAGAATTTGTGAAATTCATGGCCCCTGGGTCAGGGGTTCTGGTGTAAAGGCGGGGCTCTGTTGAATATATGGTGAAAATGCATTATTTCTTTAAAAATCTTTTTCTTTGATCCTGGGTATCTAGCAAACAAACTGATGCATGATGAGTAAAGGTGTCTCTTTCAAAATTATGAATTTCATGGTCCCTGGGTCAGGGGTTCTGGTGTTAGGGTGGGGCTCTAATGATTACATAGTAAAAATGTAATAATTCTTTGAAAATCTTCTTCTTTTCTCCTGGGTATTAAGCTGATGAACTAAGAGTATAGTTATGATATGTAAGGATGCCTCTTCCAAAATTATGAATTTTATGGCCCCTGGGTCATGGTTCTGGTGTTAGGGCAGGGCTCTAATGATTACATAATGAAAATGCATTAATTCTTTGATAATCCTCTGCTCTCTTTCTGGGTATTAAGTAAGCTTACTAAATGTAAAATTATGATGAGCAAGTGTGCTTCTTTCGAAATTGTGAATTTCATGGCCTCTGGTTTAAAACATGAATCCAATTTAATTGTGGCGAAGTTGTTGCATGATACTCAGGTGACCTATAAGGCCCGTGGGCCTCTTGTATTTTGTCCTTGTTGTCAGTGGGTGAAATCAAGAGAGACACTTTTATACCTCCTCTATAAGAGGGTTCTTTATAAATTGTCAATCAAATTTTTAAGACCTTGACCTTTGACCTCTGGTCACAATTCAAAATTATCACTCATGGCTATCGGTGATGTTGGTTTCTATAAAATATGTAAATTACCATGCCCTCCTCCTCTTTCACCAAAACATCAAAAGTGGTTTTAAGTTAGCTGCAGTCTGTCAGTAAGTCTGTAAGTATTACTTTTCATTTGAACAGAATTTTTCATCATAAAAATTCAGCCAGAAAGAATAAGTTCAGTTGGAAATGAAATATTGACATGCACTGGCTAAAACTTGAGTTATTAATCCAAATGAATATAAACATAAGTATGTTCTCATGATTTGCTAGAGTATGTTGTTGCCCATGTTGTCATGGTTTATCTTGATTTTGTTGCAAGGTCAAGGTCAATGCATGATGTGTTTAAAAATTAGAAATCCTGACACTGCAATTAGGACCTGCATTAAATGTGGGAGACTTGTAAAAATAGCTTATCAACAATTTTTTGTGATGTATGTTATAACTCCAACAGTTTTTCATTATAACCTTTTCAAATTTTGTACAGAAATCAGATTGCTTTGTCTGTCTGTATGTATGCATATCTGAATGTATATCTATTGTGACATGAAAACTTGAACAGTTTTCATTACAACAATTTCAAATTTGATACAGGAGTTCACCATGAGGGAAAGACATTTACAGCTGTATTAATTTTGTGGCATATCTTTCTTTCTTTTATAGTCTGTCCATCAACACGTTTGTTTGGACTTAATAATTAAGTTTTCACTGCAACATTTTCAATTTTACAATAAGAGAAAGACTACAAGAGATGGGCACCTATTGATGTTTTGGTCATATCATTTTGTTTTTAGATCTATGTATTATGTCCAGTTCTTAAATGTTGGTAATTCTAACACATATATCAGTGATTTTTCCACGTCACCTTCCTTATGTGCTATATTTCACTTCCTATGATCATAGCTCTCAGCAGGGCTCTCCCTGATTGTGTCAGTTTTCTGTATTTACTTATTACGATTGTGTTATTTATATAATGGTGTTATGATTTGGATGTACTTTACTTAACTAGTAGTCAGGGTTTGACACATGGTGCACGAGGCAAGTGCACTATGTGTCAAACCCTGACTACTATTTCAGCATAATACATCCAAATTATAACACTATTACAATTATTATGCTGACTTTTGTATGTATACAACAATTTAATGAAATTTGTTTGCAGACATTAAATCTAAATGAAAAAAGATGTGTCTGTGAAACACTGATGCCCCTGTATGGCAGCTCATTGCAAAGGTTAAAGTTTAATTCTCAAATGCAAGTCGAACTCCAAGGTCAATTAAGGGAGCAAAAATGTTGCTACAGTTGGTACCCAAAGAAAGGTCTTGTCACAAGGATATAACAGCCCTTGCAGCAACCATTTAGAATTATGATTAAGGTTAAAGTATTTTAAAAGTTGATGAAACTCCAAACACAAGGTCAAAAATTTGGGTCTAGGAAAAGGTCTTGGCACAAAGAATACAACTGTGAAATTTAAATTCCCTAGTACCAAGCATTCGAAAGTTATGGTCAAGGTTAAAATTTTTCAAAAAGAAGGTCCATCTCCAAGGTCAAGCTAAAAATTATTGGTTTCAACAGAAAGTTCAACACCTATAAAAAATGAAAGCCCTAGCTTCAACCATTAAAAAGTTATGGTCAAGGTTAAGGTTTTTTGAAAGTAGGTCAAACTCCAAGGTCAAAAGGTCAAAATTGTTTGTACTCAAGGGAAGATCTTGTCACAAGGAATACACTTGCAAAATATGAAAGTCCTGGCTTCGACCATTCAAAAGTTATGGCCAAGGTTTAAGTTTGGTAAAATTTTGCATAAATGGATCAAACTCGAAGATCAAGAGGTCAAATATGTTGGTACCCAAAGAAGGTCTTGTCACAAGAAATACACATATGAATATTAAAGCCCTAGCTCCAACAGATCAAAAGTCATGGGCAAGGTTAAGATTTTTGCAGACAGATGGACAGAGCAAAAACTGTATGCCTTGGAATCTTCAGTAGAGGCATAAAAGATTTCTTGAACATATTTTAATCAATCATAATATCAAAAAGCATATTAATGGCTCCAGAGTACCAGTTCATGTAAGGATCTTTGTCAGTGATATGTCATTTGGAAATGATTTTTATTTATTTCTTGTCTGTGTCAAATGTTAAAAACTACATTTATATACATGTTCTTAAAAAATATGTTGCATAATACAATATTTCTGTTGTGTAATTGGTAGCGTGTTGGACTGACATTCTTTGGGATTGTGTCAGTTCGAGCCCTAGCTTGATGCTGACATATTTTTCTAGTGAAGATAGCCATGTGCTATTTTGGCATAGTATACAATACTTAATGCTTTATAAAATTCCTCAGGAAACTATGCAAAAATAGTTAGGTATTTGTTATATAGAGACAAAATTACTGGAGTATTAGACCTTAATTGATCCAAGGATACTGTAAATCATCAAGGTCATTTAGTCATCAGAAATTTGATTTGAAGTGGGGAGATATTTATGTCAAGGTATTATACTCAGATACTCAGGATTAAGTTTATGCCAATTAACTCATCGGACTTAAATCTGATAGAAGCTGGGTTATATGTTAAATCATATTTTTTTAATCTATATAACATGGATAACAAAAAGTAATACAAGAAACTAAAATGCCTCAGGTTTATAAAGTGTATACAAAGTGCAGAGCTAGGAGAGACATTCAAAATCGTTGTTTTCACTTGGAACAGAGAAAAAATAGTGACAGTAAAATTGGCTAATTGGTATGCTGAACAAATATTCCCTAGAAAATGCAAAGTTGTAAGAACAGACTAACAAGCTATATATCCTTGTGGTTTTGCTATAACACGGTGATTTTTTCACTAACAGACCCTTGGTCATCATCTGTAACTTCTGTCACAAATAACGGAGCAGAAAGAGCAGCCATGTTGGCTTGATTGACAATGCCTGAGGCGATACTAAAATGTCGAAATTGTTGCTGTTTTCTACTTTCCAAAAAGTTGGCTATACAACCTTTGAAGAATCTTAATATTGCTAGTAACACATATATTCCTGGAATTGTAAACATCACCCAGAGTGGAACCACAGATGCATAATCTGCACTGTTCTTATTTGATGCTAGGGAAAATCGAATTGCTGCTAACACAATTAAAACGTTCAAACTGGAAGTTTCTAATGCCATGGATTTGCAAAAGGCATCCTTTTGTCGGAATATTTTTCCTGTGATATAGGCTACTGTAAAGCCACATAGAGGTAGAAGGAAAGCCGATAACACTGCATATTCATTAATACGTTCAAAAACGTACATGTTGATATACACACCAAGTGTTATATAAAGTATGGATGCCAGGAGCATCAATGGTTTAATAATCCAAGTTAGTAATGCATCTGCCACGGCTGGCTTAAACCGGTTAATCACAAGTCCAGCTGTATATGCAAAAAATGTTGAAGCCAACCAGATTTCAAAGTTGTATATAGGAATGACTCTGTGGTCTCGGTAGAAATATTGCCCAAGAACAAATATCCACAGAGGTGCTGTGCCTGGAAAAAAAAAAGAAAATTCAATTTTAGTATGTAATAAATAGAATACATTTTGATTACTGAGTTGAAGGCTTAAGGGTATATTTTATTGTTTGAAAAGATGAACCCATTCATTTTAGTTAAATTTAATGAAGGCTCTTTGGAAGGCTGTATAACAATGTGCAATTCAAAACCAAACTAGCATGACAAAGAAATGTGACATAGTGTAGCAACTTCTGCAACATGGAACTTTTTTCTCTTTATTGAAGATACTGAAACAAAAACATTCAGTATTTGTGCCAGTTTTAACTATAGTTTTGAACAAACTGAAAGGTAACATATTTTTTGCAAAAAGAGCAACTAACATATATACTAGATCTCAGTTGCAGTTGTCTAAAGTTTTATGTTCATTTTCATTTGGGTATTGATTATCCAATTCCACCAATCACAAAAGTCCTGCACGGGTGAAATCTGTTTTAATTAGCCTGTTAGAAGTGAATATTAGCTTCATATTTATAATCTCAGAATGAATGTAAAAATTGCATGAACCAGGGACATTATTTGCCCAGGAGGAAGTACAAGTATTGATTTGAAGGTCTAGATTTCAGAATCCGTGTGGTCACAAGGTTACCATCCAATAAATTCTGGTTAGATGGAATAAAAATGAATTGGACTTATGCCCAGCATAGCAGACAATATCACATTTTGTTAATTCAGAAATAATTTGCTGGTAAAGTTATTGGTCATTTTGATCATTGTGAAACAAATAAGGAATTCTCCCTAAATGTACAATCATTGCACTTAATACTCCCTGTGATTTGAAGTGGATACTTGTACATTAAAACAGTGTACATGTTTATAATGAATTCATGATTATAGCATAGTGGTTTCATTCCCTATAGTTTTAAAACAAATTTTGAACTTATTGGCTTTATCAAATTATGTTTTTATTAAACCATAATTGTCTCTCCCTGCCACTTCATTATAAGCATGTTTTATATTAGATCCTGGAGTATCAGTATACTGACATAGGCCTTAAGCAGCTATGGACTAATGTTGGTGGGAAAAAAAATGTCTTATTAGCCACAAGAAAAATTCCATAGTCCCAAAAATTTTAGCCATTATGCAGCAAAATATCAGTTCAATAGAGTCCCTTCAAAAATTCATGAAATCATGACATTTTGTGTCAATTATTGGATATTGTTTTGTACTGTTGTAATTACAAACCACAAAAATGTTATTAAAAAGTCAATAGTATTGCAAGAGGCATGCACTTTTTGGTTCTAAATGTTACTGCAAACAACAGACCCACACACAATGAGGAAAGTGATTTCCCCCATCCCCTCAAGCAAAGTTGACTTAGTGGACAGTGAAGTCTAATTATGTATAAAGTTGTCTGTAGTCTTGTTTTTACAGTGATGGAGTGTGTGTGCAGAACAGAACAGCTGACGTCAGACTGTGCTCTGAATCTACCATCAAGGAATTAAATTGATGATTATGGAAACCAGAATTGATTAATTGTCCCTGTTACTATATTGGTGTTTTCAATTATATCAAAGTCACCATTTTCATGTTAATTGTAACACATGGCATTTTAGAACTTGTTGAAATGTGTTACGTACATTCGGGGGTTTTGATGATTTTTTTTCTGGTGGGTAGGAGTCATTCTCACTTTGAGACTGTTACAATGATCATGGTGTCTATGTTGGGTGCATTATAAAGAAGTATTACACCCAGTCATGAAAAAGACAAATCATTTGATAATTCTAGTAAAATTCATAGTTTCTGTATGATGCAAAAATGTTTCAATGACGAATCAAATTTACTATGGACATTGGTCGTACACTAATATTTGATTAATTTTTATTCCAGTGTTCTGTCTTGTTCTTTCCTTTTGAAATAAATTCCTGAAGAGAAATTAAAATGCATAGTGAAGAATGGCCTTTATTTAATCTTTGTACAGTTGCCTTTAGCTATTCTGACCTCCTAATCTTTTTTTGTAGTTCTGCATTCACTGGTTTCACTGTGGTTTCTTTCTACTTAATATGATAAAGACAGAATTTTTCTTCGATTCAGATTGAGGTTTCTTACTGTTTTGGGCACTTCAATAAGTAAGAATTTTTCTGATTCAGATTAACAGGTAAATATGACTTTTCTCACATTTCTTAGCAATACATGATTCATCAAGTATGATTTATGAAATACTGTAAATCACTTTTTATTCCAGAGAACTTTATTTTCACGTAATTATGCAAGACTGTGTGCTCGCAAAGATTTAATTCTCGAGTATGTTAGTATTCCTTAAGATTATACAGAGCAATTATAACCACAATTTGAGAAGATTTTGTCTTGCTTATAATGAGTTTATGACTATCTCAAGAAAATAAGGTGTCGCAAAAATTTAGTGATATGTATCTATATTGGGAAGTATATACTATTATAAAACCTTATATTGACAGATTATTAAAACTAAGCTGCTCTTGTTTATGTCACAATACCTATTCTACAAATAATTCAACTTCAGCATTCATTTCTTAATTAACCTTTGATAAGATAGTGTGTATGTATGAACTATTTCTTGTTGGTCATTCTCTCATCTTTCTAAAGGTGATTCATATTACAGTAGCAATATAAATGTATGTCTTAATATCTTAGGAATTTGTATTAATGATATATAAAAGTTTCTAACAGCAAAGTCCCCAAATTAATTATGTGAACAAATTTGATTTGGAAACTTTAAAAGAACCTTTACCTAACATTGCCACAATGCTTATGAGATTCATGGCTAAGCTAAGTGGAAGGTCTGCATCGCCAAGAATTACAGCAACATGACCCAAGCCTCCTCCTGGCACACAAGCAACACACAGCAACCCAAATTTTACATCATTGTGAAGTGGCAACATCATGGCAATACCAAAGGCAAGCTGTAAAAAAAAAAAAGAGAGCAGTTTATACTGTTAAAAAAATCACACTTTTTAGTTACAATATATATTTTGATTTTTACTGTATTTTAAGATATAATAGTACAAAACTAAGTGCATCTCACACAATTTTAGTCCCAGCTCAAACTCCATTAATTGCCAATACATTAAAGAGCCATTTTATTCATTTAGATTTCTTTTTCGGAAACTAACCAAAGTTTGTGACCATGCAGACCTTTTAACAGTTTAAGATTTGAAAGAAAAAAAAACATTAAGTTATAGGGTGCTATTCCATCATGATGGAGTTGCTTACACCAGTATTTATTATATGCTTATTCAAGTGTTGCAGCAAAAGTTTCTCTCTTTTTTTGGCCAAAATGACATTTGATTAATAGTTTTCTGGGTGCAGCAAACTATCAAAAGAATTAAATATCTGAAACAAATACTGAATTATTTTCTTTATACCATTGAGACCAAGCATTTTTTTTCCAGAAATGTGAAATAGTTAATATAGGCAGTAATTCTGTTCAGTTCACAAGAATGAGTTAGATAAAATCATAGGCCATAAAAGGCCATATGAGATAAATTCATTGTGTTATTTAAGACTGTTATTGATAGGACCATTTATGGAGTGTGTTCATAGCATTATTGACTACATATATATATTATGAGGGCTGCTGATGAAAAAGGAGCCCCATGTTTGGTCTGTTCCATCTAGGAAGCGCTGGTCCTTGTTTGGCTTCATGTCATTCTCAGCTTTCATCCATTACAAAATCAATGCACACTGAACAATTTCCACAGCTCCCTTGATCAGGAGATCGGCTAAAAGAATAAATTTGTCCAGTAATGTCTGTTGAACATTGTATACAAACTTATTATGTGTACAGTGTCTTTTCCGTGGAGAATATCAGAAAGCTCGTATTAACCTAATTATGGCATTAAGATAGGTCTGCAGTCAGCAGGAGGTGATATTTATATGATTTGGTTCCACTAGAGGGTAGGAAAAATGTCACTGACTTCAGTGCCAACAGAGCCCACACAATCCAATTAGGTTTTCCTGCGGCCAGCACCAATCTGGTTATGCTGGACCGAGTGCAGATTTTGTCACCTCTGTGGCTATATAGTTCTTTCTTCTGTGGCCAAGAAAGGGTGCTTTTATCTCTGGTCATAAATCCTATAGCATGGGTATATCCCTATTCCAGAAGATTGTGCTTTACCTAGCTTTACATTAATCGTGACCAAAGAATCTTTCTTATAATGCTTAATCAATATCTTCCACAGTCAGTTTGTGTTTTTCATTGATTAATTTTCAATAAATCATGGGTTCTTATCATAAATTGAGCATGACTTTTACAGTGTGTTTAGTGCTTTTTGTAATTTTGGAGGGTTAATTATGTGTCAAAAGGAATAAATCAGTCTTTCCAGTGTTGGCATCAGTTTATGTGGCCCATCATTTTCATATACCCATGAAGTTCATTTACCCTTCCTATTCAATACATTTCGATATGATGCATGATATATGCATGAATTTAACTCCATTTTTATACCCCCTGTTTGAAAAGTGAAGGGTATATAGTGACAGGGGTGTCCGTCCATACATTCTTCTGTCCATGGGAGTGGGGGTATCATTTTGTGAGCTTAGTGGTCCCAGTACCTAGTTTGTATGGTATGTTTTTAACCCCAACTGTTTAAGCCAGCTATTCCACCCCAGCAATTGAGATATGATAAAAGTTCAAGGAAAGCTAGGGCTGATGTAACATAAATGCAAACAGATCAAACTTTTTACTTGTTACAACTTCTCTTATTCTTACAGAAGGGAAAACCTCAATTTTTAAGAATCAATTTGATAATTGAGTAGCATCCTAAAATTTTACTACCAATTTGTTCTTCTTTCTGCTTACAATGACATCTAAGTTTATTTGGAGTAGAGACGAGAAAAAGAAGTGTAACTATTGATTTTCATTCAGAAACTCAAAGTATCAGTATTTTTGCCTTAACAAATAGACAGTGTCCTCTGCAGGTCAACATCAGCTACATGCCTGTTGAAGTCGTCTTCTAGCATTCTGTGTCTCATTATGTCTGTCTTTCATGAAGAGTGGATGCCAACAAATCGAAACTTTTAATATGGTCATATTGAATGACGAAATCTTTTTCAATCCAACAACTTTTTATTTACTATGTAGAAGGCTTAAGCTTTTAAGGAGGGACTAAAGATTAAAATGCTAAAATCGAAAGATCAATTTTATAGAAAAAATCCTTCAACACAGTTATAAATTTTATGATATCCCACCTCTACTTACTGTAATGTGGAAAGACTGTGGTGGTGGTGGTGGGGGGGGGGGGGGGGTAATTTACACTTATGTGTTAAGAAAGATTTTTTGGAAAAGATTGTGAAATTTTTGTCATAGACTTCAAGCAAATGTTAGGGTTGTTAATGTATAAGGTTAAAAATATATAGGGCCTTGAATAACTTTGTCTTCTAGTAAGAGATAATTCTGTTAAAACAGTATGAATGCCTTATGTTTCAATAATATGCCTAATTGTTGAGTCCATGGATATATCAGAGGCACCCATAACCCTAAATTGGCTTTGTTATGTACTGGCAAAAATAAAAAGGAGAAAGCAGAGCCCCCCTCCCCCCTTTCAAAGTTCCTAATGGTCTATATGTGATTAATGGTATAATAATTTAATCCAAAAAAGGGAAATAGAAGTCTATGACTTTTGTATTTATGCATGACTTATAAACTATATTTCTGCATTGATTACATTTTGAGACTCGATCATGACTGATGACAGTTGATCTAGCTTATGGATGCTTGCTGACTTTGCGTGATTGCATGATGTTTTTTGGGGGTTTTTTTAGTGCACATGAATTCTACTGTGTAAGTCTGTTCTTTAGAAGTAGACTCCTTGTCTAATTGTAAATAACTTGATTACTGGGAATGCATAATATCCTTGGAGAAACCAGGACATTTTTCTTTCCATGGAAAGAATGTTCATTTTTTCCCATAGGAATAACTGAAGACAAATTACATTTTGTTTATATGCTTTAATACTATTATGCTTTAACTATTATGCTTTAACTAAGAACAAATTATTTTCATAAGAAACTCTACACATATATTTTTCAGTGGAAAAAAAAAATGTTCTTTTTGAAGTGGAAAATTTCATGATTTGAATTTGAGATACAAAATGCTTGTATTTTATCAATCAATAAGTACCCTCCTTAAAGCATACATACTACCAACAGCCTGAAAGAAATAAGCCTGCCATTCTATTGATTGGATACTTTCTGCTTTGCGTTTCTGTTGATCAGACTTGCCGTGATTTACTTGATACAGTAAATTTCAGAAAAAAAGGTTTAATATGCCGTAATATGGTAGGAGATTTACCAGTTCTTTCATACCCTTTGTTTCACGCTTTTCTCAGTGGTTTGAATCAGAGACTAGTGAATATATCTGGGAGTTGTTGTTAGATATCAAAACCTAAGAGATTCTGTGACCACCAGTATTACATAAGACATATTTAAATTTGCTCCAGAATGTATCGTGTTTGTAATGATTTTTTTGACATGGTTAATGTTACTACAAGGAACAAATTGAATGTCAACATATATCGAAATTTGACTGCAAAACCATTTTAAGGATTTTGTAAAAAATATTTTTCGTCATAAAAAGAATGGAACTTTCAAAAAATTCTTGATACCTATCAGGTTTTCACAAAAGATGTGACAATTTCAAAATTATAAATCAGGTAAATTTTCTGTCAATGACTTTAATATTAAAATTACATCCCATTGAATATGGGAAAACTCTTAAACTTTTTTAAAATTATTAGATGAAGTCAGGGGGAATGCTAAACATTGATGACTAGAACATGTTTGTCATTTCCTGAAAACTTTTTTTTAACGGGGGTACAAGTAATGTACCTTTTCTTTTGGTTACATAACAAACTAATCTATTATACTAATAAGGTTTCAGTCCAATTACAATATTGCATGGCATACCTCTCTGGAGACTATAAACCCACCAGGTTACTTACTAATTTGATTGAACCTCATCAACTCCCCAATCAGAAAGAATCCAGGGACTGTGATTCATGTAATTAAAACTGGGAACATACATTTATCAAGCACCAGGGATAAACCACCACTCAACTTGTATATAAATACTCACCACAGGCAAAATAAGAAACTGGCAACAGAATCCCACCACCAGGGAGACAGGGTACTTCAACTGTTTTTTTAAGCTTTCTGTATCTGTCACACATCCAATTCCAAAACTTATTAGTATTGCAATAGCTGCTGCTGAACAATTAAAAGCAAAGTCCGAGGGTCTGCCCACTCTTGTTGTCTGTATGTCATATTCCGCATGTGCTAATGTTTGGTATGCTCCTTGCCTGACCTTCTCTAAGTCATTTGTGTCTGTCAGTGTTACGGACATTGTGGCATAGCCCATATGCATTGCCAAAACGGTAAAATTATGTTCAGAGTTTAACTGGATGGATTTATAAATGAGCGACGAGGTAGCCGGAAGCTCTGTGGCCATTTTCTCACTTTTATCCTCCTCTCCATTATGACTGTCTTTAGTAAGAACTAAGCTGGCTACTTCGCTGTTATGGGCCTGGATTACTACTATAAGATTGATATTGGAAAAGTCTGAGCTATCTTTAGTCTGCGAGAAATTCCCTGACTGGCTTCCCGTGCCGTTGTTGACATATTGGAGAATATTATTGGAAGTGCAGTTGAAATTGACGGTTCGATTAGACGCCACCACTAAGTCATTGATTGAAAGAGGGTTAAAGAAAAAATGGAACGTTTCATTTTGCCATAAAGGGGAGCGAGGTTGGAATGTAACAGAATCGGGATTGGAAATGTTATACATGGTACCATTAGACTGCAATGAGGAAATGGAGTCAAGCATTGAGGACAGCGAGGTCATGTTGCTGGTGCTGGTGTTGCTAGTCTCTGGGTCGGAGACATTTGGAGCCATTTGTTGGGAAGCACACTTGAATTGTAATAAAGTGGTAAAAGCCACTACAAAGAGGACTCTGGTGTCGATTATTGGCATTGCCAGAGTGCACGATCACTAAAACCCAGTCTGTAGTCACTTCACAACGTAATCAGTTCTTACATGTAACTTTATTACATTGTATTGGCACTTCTGATGAGAAAAGAACTTTATTAATTATCATAGAGAAATTATATCAGTGACTCACTGATTTATGGGAGTGTATAATTTCTTTTCATAATTCATCCATGAATGAATTCAGAAACTTAAGTAAACAATTTCATCCAACAGGGCAGCACTATTAAGACAGACACCTGTGAATTAATTTTCCTTAATGCACTTGCAGTGAGAGAATAATACACTTTTTATCCCTGCAGTTTACAAATTTCCTTCACTATATACTATAAAGATGTGTGTGCAGCGGAGCCACTTTATACATCACCCACCACAGAAGATGTTACATTATTTCTTCTCAAGCACTTGGGGTTATGTGCACTTCAGATATGCCAGATCTCCACACAATAGAATCACGATTGCTATTATTTTCTAATCATCCTACAGTTTGATACCTTCCTTCCTTTCAAGTTTTTCTAATAAATGTTTATGAGGTTTTATCATTCACAGTGCATTCCTACACAGAAGTCTATAATATTTCTCTGCATTTATATAAACATAGTAATATGGATGTCTTCCTTTCCCAGTCTTCATCCAGAGTTTCAGTAACTTTGTTTGGTATATCCGTGATGTTTGGTTAATATCAATCTACATCATCAACTGCAATCTACATACCGGTATATATTTTTTTTATTTTCCTAAATTACTTACTCTTTCTTGATTCACAGTGTTCAGATTAACATTTCTTAATTAGTTTTCCTTCTTTTTTCTCTTGAACTCAATCAATACCTGCCATGCTGTTTCATGATGAAATTTTCAAAGACTGAAAGGGTAAAAAGCAGAAGGGTATGTCATGTGTGAAAATTTGTTGCCAGGCTGCTTGGTTGACTTTTTGAAAATTGAAAATGAAACTCCTCTCTCAGGGTTGCACTTCAGCAATTCCTTCCATTTTAGATTTGTTGAAAACAAATCTGAGTGTATTACAAGCCTGAAATTCAATAAATACACTAGAATTCCAGAAATAAAGTATTGATTTAACTACAAATTCTGGTCACTGATGCCTGTAGATGGAAATTTGTGTGTCAGTTAATTTTCCATTGGTCAAGGCCATTGCTGGAAATATTTACTGAGAAAATGGGATTTATCCAGGGGTTTCCTTCAATTTCGGAATAAAATTTTCACTCAGAAATTCTCTTTTGAAAATAAGCTTGAAATTTCATTGATATATTTCCATGAACCTAAAAAACACAAAGAAAAAAAATAAGAACCAGTCATGCAATAATGATCAATTATTGATGCAGAAAGTCAAACATTACAGTGTTAATTATTTAATAGAAACATTTGATTAAATTGCTCATGACTCTCCTCCAACTTCTTTATTCATTGAAGTCAAATTAAATACACATTTTACCCAATTTTCTGTCAAAATAATTACCTTTCCATAGCTTATCGAGCGATGAAACTCTGTTTATATTATTTCATCAATTACAGTTTATTTTAATGACTCTTTTTACTAATTTAATTATTACAGTTTTTCAGATTCACTTAAAAATTATGCATTCAAGTGCATTAAGAGACTTGTACAGTAAAAACCATAGATAGTGCAACTACAAGAGATTATGTCAGAATGAATTCTTTATTCATTTTGTACATTTTTTAAATCACTACTCTGATTTCCTGGGAACAAAGTAAGAGTCTATTTGAAACAGGTGTTTGCTGTAAATGTTTTCAAACTAAATGTGTTTTACTGTAGTATATGTTCCAAGGGTTGTCCCTAAGAATTAAAATTGCAGGGGACATTAAAAAAATAGAAGGGAGTCTGCAGTTTCTCCCCTAACAGGGGATTGTTGGGGAATACCAGAATAACCGGGGAATAACATCATTATAGGTGGGGAAATTCCCCCCCCCCCCGGACTTAGGGACAACCCTGTGTTCCCCTATTTAGTTCTTGTTATCATTGATAGTTCAACTACATTTTGACTTGGAACATATTACATGGATACATTGTGTGCATTTGATATTGATATGAGTCACCCGTGTGGTACAATGGTTAGAGCGTTTGCTCTAGAGTAAAGAGTTGATCCTTAAGTTATGTTGCAGGTTCAAATCCCACTGTGGGATGTGGAGACCGGTCCTACAGATGAAACCGTATAACCTGAGGTCCTGTGTCACAGTAGGTGCTGGCATGAAAAAGATCCTTCAATGCTCAAAGGCCGTTAGTGCCAAGTATAGGTCTAAATTTGCAGCCCTCCACTGGCAAGTGGTGGCGTCTCAATATGAGTGAAAAATTCTCAAAGGGGTGTTAAACAAACAAACAAACAAAATTTTGATATGATGTATAAAATTTAACATGTTTGTTTGATAACTTATTATTTCATGTTGATATAAAACTAAGATTTAAGATATGAAATGATTGAAGTTTGTATGTTAGTGCAGCAGTTGCAAATCAGCTGAAAAAAATAAACATAAACATGATATGATTATGAAGCACTCAGTTGATGTACAACAAGTGATCAATCCAGTGAGTGGATCTAACCAATATTTCCTTCATCTTTGATGCATCACAGGGGTTATTATTTCAAATGAAAAAGTGATTCTGAATCAATAAATTGACCTAATGGAGTACAAAATACATTGCACTAACTGAAATTAATCATCAGTCAATCAAGTACATACAGTCAAGTATACTAGTATTCACTACTAGTTACTTTTATCTTATAGGACAAGGAAAGACAACTCCAATGTGTCATACCCAGTAGTGAGGCAATACACTAAAATACAGTAATTTTATCCTAAAATATGATCTTTTTACTTGTTAAACAAAATTATAATGATAGATATCTTTATCTGTATTTTTGTGACATGAGGCTTCAGAGTCTATGTACGTACCTGAATATATCATTTAATTAAGCCCAGTATTCCAGTACACGCTTGGCGTCAATAAACAAAATATTCATATACTACCTTATTCGTACAAAGAATAAATTGTCTGAATATCCAAGTCTTTGAGACTTTCAATCCAAATTTGAGAAATCAGCCAGTACTCTTGCTTCCCCTCAGGGACCTAGACCACAGATTGACTGTTTACTAGGTCTGTGGATTTTCTCTGGCATTGTCGTTTAAGAATCGGCAGTGACAGGATTATTTATTTAAAGGCTTCAAGACAGAATTCTATATAAAGCTGATTGTTCATATTTCAATGACTTTCCTAAAGAGAGTATTATTTGACCAAGTTTTCAAAAATGTGTTCCAGCTAGTCAGAGGAAAAAGAATAAATATTGTCAAGCTTTCTTTTCAGAATTGTAAAGTTTTAATATATATTTATTTAACATAAATTGTAAACATACATTTGTTATCAGGGTGTAAACGGATTTTAAAATGCCACAGTACAATGGACCTTAATTTTAGTTCAAAGCAGATTTTTAGATTGTAAATAAATGGCTGTGTAAGCTCAAATTTCTCCAAGAAATCCTTCTTCATTGGGAATTGTGTTGGCATCGCTCTATAGGAATTGGCTTCTTTATGTGTAAGCATAAGTGCTGAACTCCGCTATTCAGCTAATTGTGATCTCTGAGAGCATGATAATTGAAATCACAATACAGGGCATCAGTTCTTTTGTTAAAAAAAATAAGAATTTGTTGACGTAAAGACTCATTCAGCTCTGCACTTGATCTTTGTATAGGTTAATTAAAGAATGCAGAGAATATTTTAAGACTCGATCATAAAAATCATAGTAATTCTGTGTGATTTTTTTTTTTATTTTTCTAGGTTAAATAATCAATTGCAGGTCTGAATATAGTTGAAATTCATACACTGATGTCTCCTTTTATGTATTCTATGATGTAATTTTTCAGATAATTGCCATTTCAAGACATTTCAGATACATTTTATGAGGGTGTTTGTGGATTCTTAATTGAGGGCAAAACCTATGTGGGACTCATTACCATATGAAGTTAAAGTCCCTGATCTAGATTTGTAAAATTTAATAATGTGCAGCCAAGTAATATGTGCAGCTGAGTAATATGCGTGAAATCTGACTTAAGACCTTTGTAAAGGAAGAACATTTGCTTAGTTGTTCAAGGTTATTCCACCAAAGTCAAGGTCAAAATGTAGCTGTAGTCCTAAAGAAGTAAAAATGAAAATAAAATTATGTATAGTACTGTACTATACATAATTTTATTTTCATTTTTACTTCTTTAGGCATGGTCCTTTTGCAATTATTAACCTGGTCGGTACCTTAAAAATTGGCAAGACATAAATTACAGTTCTTATAATGTCCTTAGTTCGTAGTCTACCATTGAGTGTTGCATATTAAAGTTGTCACTGGATTCTCTGAACACCTCTAGTTACTTTAGAGAAATCTTGTTACCATAAAAATTGGACCTGTTCAGAGTATATCCTGTTTCTTTCTCTATCTCTCTCTTGGTTTTGTTTGCGTTCTCACTTATGAAAATATCTCTACAGTAATAGAATTGAAATGTATAACTATCAAAGTATTCATCAAATTTGCCACCTTATAGATTTTTAGTAGATTTATGACGACAAGAAATAGTGCTTTAAGATATTTTTTTTTTTACTTTCAGTATTCGAAAACATTTTAATTATGTAAGAACAGAGCAAGGAAAAAGCCATTTTTCTTGCTAAACTTATGATGATTGAGGAATTTCATATGCTCAATATTTTTTTTCAAAATAATTTACCTTCTCATCAATAAGATATGTGCCTGCATTCAGTATTTTTCCTCGTGTTGTTTTATAGTGAGGTTGTTTGTGTTACCAGTATACAATGGTGATGAGAAAACCAAGATACTAACAAATCAATAAAAAAAAAGTTGTGGTGAAAAAAAAAAGGATCTTTGATCAAGGAATAGTGGAATTGTGTATCTCGGATTCAAAAATGCCCACTATAGATCGGGGTAGATCTTGGTATTATTATCATTAGTGCATGTTGATCGATAGTAATTTTTTTTTGTACAATAATGATGAATTTATGATATTGTGTATGTGTGCAGAACTGTAAATTGTTTTTATACAAATAAATCATTTATTTATGTTCAATTTTAACTTCAAAACAAAGCAAAAATCATCTAATAAAAATATGTGTCATTTTCAGGTACTATTTACAGTGTAAATTGGACCTTGAGGCATCAACAAAGTTAAAGTCAATTAACAAAAAGCGGATGTAAATTCATGACATTTATCAGTAATCAATCTAAAAATTAATTAACTCTCCAAATATTGAAAATACAATTAACATGGAATCCTTTTCATTTTCGCATTCATTCATTTATTGTTATTTTTAACATTTAATGAATAAAAAAATGAAAATATCTAGAGGTGTGTAAAGAAGTTTTTTCTCCCGTTTTTATAGTCGTCTTCACAAGTGCTGAATCAGAAAGGTATACATGCTTCAAGAAAACGCTTACCTGACTCCTTGCTCTGAGTCTCATGTTCTTTCTGCATTTCTACAGATGTGTAGCTAGCGGCAGATACACCTCATAGCCATACTATTTCTCTAATTGATCAAATTTGAATGCGATTTCTAAGCTTGATGTTAATGAGCACTGATGGAAATTGATTTCTCGGTGTGTGGATTGGTAATACATTGTCATATCCTTGCTGAAATGACTTACACTTTAAAGTGGCAGTCTATTTGTCAGTCTGTCAGTTCCAAAGTTAATAAAGATTTGACTGCTTGATGAAATGGAATCAGTTAAGACCTATTGTTGCTGTAGGAAGGGGGGGGGGGTTACTATAACTGGCAAGGAGTGATAAATAGTAACCTAAATAAGTCGATCTCCTTGTACATGCAGTTTTGGTGCAATTCCATCTAAGTGTGGGTCATAAATGTAATTATCATTTTCAGGTTTTATTGAAGTTGCTGTACTCTGTGATACAGCCATAGATATAATTTCTACTGTTAGCCTTTTCACAATAACTTTGGTACTGCTCTTTTGCAGGGCAAATTACAATAATGTTTGGTGAAGTTTTTGTTGGCGGTTAATCAAATGATGTTTATTTACCAATTTTGTTGTTATGTACATCATATTTCACCAAAATATATCAGTTTGCTCTGCAAAAGTTGTACTGAAAGTAGTCTATTGTGAATCCACATTAATTAAAGGATGTCCAGCACAATTATATATTAAAGTGATTTTCACAGCCATTGAATTACTGTTATTGGTCTCTGCAACATTCATCATGTTTGTTGTTTAAGTCCCTCTTGAGAATTTTTCACTCATATGGAGACACCACCACTTGCTGGTGGAGGGCTGCAAATTTTGACCTATACTCAGCACTCTGGGCCATTGAGCAGTGAGGGATCTTTTTCTTGGCAGCACCTACTGTGACACGGGGACCTTGGTTTATATGGTATCATCCAAAAGACTGGTCTCCACGTCCCACAGTGGATTCAAACCTGCAACATATGGATCTACTCCTTACACATTCTAACCACTGTGCCACATGGGTGACCAACATTCATCATTGTGAAATTAGATATACTGTATACAGAGAAATTTTAGCCCCTGTTTTATTTTAACCCCTTTTGCCCTTCTCACAGGTTGGCAAATTTAAAATGGGGTGAGTTCAAAGAACACAGTATAATTTCTTAAACAGAACTGTGACTGGGCGAATTTAAAATGGGGCAAAATTGTTTGCAAGTGTGAAAGGGCAAAAATAACATGGGGCCAAAATAACCCTGTATACAGTACTGTATACATGGTATATCCAGATTAAGTGAGGTATGATACAAATCTTGTTCGTTTCCACCCCAGTAACAGATCTTCCCAATATGACCACCAAAATCTGATATTTCTTACATTAAATGTAAGTTTTTAAATCAAAAGTAATTGACTTGTTTTTTTGTTCAAATTTGGCATTACAAAGAAAATCAAAACCATATGAGTCAAGCAGTTGGAATTAATCAGATTTTGCTGTTGTTTCAAACAACAAAGTGTGTCTACCATAGCACCTTATGTGAAATCCTGTAGCACCCATAGGCTTCCCTTCCTGTGAACAGTAAAAGAGAGCAGATCTTTTCTCTGTGATTGAAAGGTTGATATTTGTTGTTAGTTATCATGTTTATGCATCATTAATGAGATAAGCTTTTCTCAAATGAGGATATTTTTCTCATGTACAAAACCATTTGAAAAAGAGAATCTTATATGTCATGGTTAACAAATAGATGCTGAATGTATAAGCCAGAATATTATATTGAGAGGGAATTCAGGTATTAATGCACCATTTTTACCCATATTTAGAGTGAAGGTTTGTGTGATGCATTGATTTCAAAACTGCGGCACTGTGGATGCATGCTTTTTGAGAGTTTTCAGACCATTTCAGTTCCCATGTTGCTCTTTGTTTCTGTTATGTCTTAGAGCATAAAAATTAGATCATTCTATAGGCATATTAAGATACACAATAGAGAATTGAAGTTCTTTATGAAGGGATGCTAATGGAAGTCAAACTTTCATTGTAATACTGAAATGGAAAGTGAATTAGTATTGAATATTAAATCCTGTTGAATTTAGCTTCAAGATTTTTTTTTCCCAAGTGGGACAAATTTAATTTAGCACAATCATATTTACCATGTATTCAAGTCGTAGAAAGTTGGAAAAGGGGTGCTTACTGGATGTACAGGGTGCTTACTAGATGCCCCTTTCTTGCCAAAATAAAAATGACACAAAGGAAAAGTTGCTTAGCAGATTAATTTAGTAAGATATCAAAGACTTTTCTTTTTTGTTTTCACTCTTTCTTTTTTGTTTTCATTCACTCGTATTGCAAACTGATTGAAAATTTAAATTGTATAATTATTAGAGAATTCATTTAGTTATAAGAGAGGACCAGTGCTTATTGTTTTCAGGTTGTAATAGTGTGCATTAAACTTGTTTGTTCAGATATTGAAATTTCACTTTTCACCTCATATTGTACTGCATCCAAAATTTCTATCATTATAATGGCTCAGTTTAGTTGTTGCAATTACCTCTGCTGTTGGTGGCATATTCAAAGTATTATTTTCAGACTTAAAATTGGGTAAATCAGGCTAAGGTATTTCAAATATTACTGTTTGCTGGCCTTGACTTTTAAATTGATGAAATTGGTAAATGAAATATTTTAACCCCCCCTCCCCCCTTGAAAAAGGAGATTTATTGTTTTGCACCTGTCGGTTGGTCAGTCGGTATATCTGTTGCTTGCATGGTCAGTTGGTACACCAGCTGTTGTCCCCTCAATATCTTGAGAACCCTTTAATTGAGAGACGTCAAACTTGGAAAAGTGGTTCCCCTTAAAGGATGTACCACAAACAAATTTTCATATCTCCTGCACAGAAGAGTTACTTTGCTATTTTTTCAATATTTCTTTCAATGGAAATTTAACTAGGAAATTTTAATTGTGTAAGATATGAAAATAGACTCTTGTCAATGTTTCCAGAAACTTTACAATAACAAAACTATAATATTTTCTAACACTTTTCAAGAATTATATTGAACTTTAAAGTTACATTTTCCCACTTTTCACCAAAAAATCAGGACAATTTCCATCACCACAATGATATTTGACTTGACTTTTGACCTTGACTTTGGTAAAGAAAACACACAATTTTATACTCGTATCTGTTGAAGAAGACCTGTTAATGTAGTGAGATGGGTTTTACTTGCTATCATTCAATACAACTGTTTCTCTAACCTTTGACCTTGAAATTTGCAAATTAAGCACATGCAGATTTCTCTTTGGGATGTTTTTTTTTTTTGTTGTCTCTTTTTTATTTTAAAGATAAAGTATGATAAATGTTGTGATACTACCACAAATTTTGATCTAGATCTTAAATTGCTTTTTTGGTATATGATGAGCATTAATGTCTGTCTTGACTGAACTTTACGAGTTTCATTTTCAAATTTTATGTATTACAGTAGTTAAATATAAAAATAGTAAATACTTTGAATTCCACATTGTATGTTGACTTTTACCTGATGTGATGAATAGAGGTATAGCAACATGATCATAATTCCATTTGATGAAATTGTAACTTTGCAGTCAGTCTGTTCTGTCTTAGCATGTTTTAGCTTTATTTGATTATATATTCCATCTGAGTTACAGAACTCACTCCATGTATCTCAGAGAGATAGAGTCAAGGCCACAGTGGCAGTGACAGGTTCTCGTATGTTCATTAATTACTACAAAAAACTTTACATGCTCGTTTGTACCATGCCGATAATCAAAAGGTTTCCAACAGCCAGTTATCTTCCATGATTTTGATTTATCTTTACATTATCATCTGAAACCCTGTTGCCAAAAATGTGGCTGATGTCTCATAGCTTAAGCACATACTGTGGGCACTTTCTTGACTTTGCCCTGCTATCTGTCTGTTTCTCCATAATTTTCTTGTCTCTTTAAGTGCCTTGTCCCCCTATAATAACAGACAATGTCTTTTACATCAAATTGATTTCTTTGATTCATTGCACACAAGGACAAAGGCTACATTTATTTCTGTCATATGTTCTTGACCAGACCTGTCCAAAAGATAATTTTTTAATGGAAGACAATTTAGTTGTTGTTTGAGTACCTTATGAATAGCAAATAAGTTCTTCTTACTAATTAGATGGTATCTATTCACATCATATAAAAGAGGCAGGATTACGATTATTTTGTGACCTATGCTGTCTCTGCCAGCTAAAAAGAATTTTGTTAAGCTGTTGCCTAACACAAACCAATTGGCAGCTTCTGAACAAATCAAAACACCCTTAAGTGAAAGTGGATCCAATGACCGAGAGATTGCCCTGTTCTGCCAATGTTGCCCCACTATCATAAAATGGCTTGAAAAACCTAGCAGAACTTTAGTTTGGAACCTTTTTATGGCTGTAAATAATGAAAACTTTCAGTGTGAAATCAAGGGAGCTGAATTTCAAATATGACCTCTAGGACTTCACAATGGCAAAACAAACTGAAATAATGCAAATTTTGTTGCAAAGTGTAGAAGATCATATTGGTTTTTTTTAGTACTAAGGGAGACACATTTGCACCTGAAGTTGCATTAGAGCAAATGTTTAAGAAGGAACAAATAAATTTTAAAATCCAGAAGTCTCAAATGAATGCCATGAAAATAATTAATTTTACTAAAAAGACCACTCATGTATATTTTCACTGGGCATTAGCTAGAGTTGATTTCAGATTATGATATATATATATATATTTCTGACTAAACCATTGAATTAATGTTCATGTCTACATAAATCATAATATTATTATAATGCTGGACATCTAATGATGCTGATAGAAATCTTACTTCTGAGCACAGAGGATAGAATTGGCTATGTTCCTCATGATTTCATTTTTCTGGACAATGAAACTACCTTCAGTAGAGCAGGGAATATCCAATGCAGACAAAATAAATGCCAGGATTCCTTAACTGTTGGTTTATGGGGCCATGCTTTTAATGAATTAAAGAATATATTACATGTATCTGTAAGTAAAGATAATGGATAAATTTAGAAAAGAAATGGACATTGCCATTAAAGTCAAATTAATGTACCGGTATGTATAATTGCAATATCCTGTTGGAATGTCCTTGCAATAAAATGCAGTATATTGGAGTTTTGATTTACAAAGAAAAAATTTTGAAAAAATTGATAGAAAATTTACTCAGATAAATATAAATGCAGATGTAAACTGCTGACAAACAAACATTTTTAGCTCCTGTTTTATTGTTGGTCATAACATCATGCAGGTACATGTATCTACAGTCTACAGTTGTAAAGGGGAAACCAAAGAATCTTATGTTTTTTACTTAATTAATAAACAAAATTTGTATATTTTGGAAAAAAAAACTTTTTGGTGAATTGCCTGTGAAATAAACTTCAAGAATTTTAAGTTATCATTTCATGTGTAGTTAAAAGCTAAATTGTTAAAGCCATCATTTTCCCAAAGCAAACCAAAAAGCAACATGTAGAGAAAAGGAAGAAAGAAATTAGAGGGATCTGATTTCATCCAACTGAATGGTGAATGATGTCCATTCACAGACACTAGACTTATGAATGTTTTTTCCAGAGCATTGGGTGATAGCTCCTGCATACCAATATAGTTCCTCTATATCTACTAGATCTCTTCCAAATGACCTGTCACTTTCAATATCTAGTGCAAAACACAGCAAATGTAAGTTTTTAGGCAAAGATACAGATCTGACCCATTAGACGTTTGAACTCACAACCCAAACCTCACAATCCATATGTTTTTTACCACTTAGCCACAGAGCAGAGAGAGAAAGACTCCAGTATGATTGAATCCAATTTCCATAGAACTGAAAGTGCATGGTGCAAAAGACATATGGGAATGGTGATAAAGATATTGGGGTTTATTACTCAATGTTTACACTTACACATATCACAATCAATTCATTAAATATCCTAGTGAATGTCATTTCTGTCATATTGCTGCTCTTGTGGAATGGCTGTTAAGTGATTCAATATGTTGTCATGTGCATAATTATATGAAGATGAAACACACGCTGGTTCTTAATTTAGTGAAGGGCAAGTTAGCTATGGGCATAGGTTTCCTCTCTGTCTGTCTGTCCATATGTCTGTCAGTCCCACTAATGAGTTTTCTGATCTTTTTCTATCCAGACACAAACACTGAGCTGATGTTTAGATGGGGTCATGTGACCCTGTGTATTAGATTACTGTCAGTCGAGGCCTCAAACGGAAGCCATGCATATAGCATTTTAATTGAGTCTATTTTAAAGAAAAGAGTGCAGAAGTTGCTTTGGTCAAAAAACAGACATGGTTGTTGCTTAATTAAAGAAAAGAAAGTAATTTGAAGAGTTTTCTATAGTAATAAAAGATATTTGTGAAGCATTTTTGAAAATTTTTATCTTTTGAAAATCATTAATTAAATGTATACAAACTACTAGGATGTGTTTACTTCAAATTTCAGATCAATTTGTAAATGTTATATCCGGACAGTGCTATAAGGTTTCTCTCAATATTACCAGTATAAATGAAAATCATAGTTAAACTACTATTTTGTTTTAAGTGGGTTTTTTAAAAAAAAAAATGGTATTATACTCTATGAAAATCCACAACAGTGGTGAAGTTTATTAAATCATGAACTTTATTAACATGACCCCGTCTTTCAGTACTATATCTGTACTTTGGTTGGAATATGAGACTATACAGATGAAGTTGACATTTCATTTTATGCATTAATGATTTGAATGGAATTATGGCCCATACTGGTAGGGGGACTCAGTATTTTTAGTTGACAGCTAAGACGAAGACTCAAGTCAGCTTTTCTGTTCAAAATGTGTCTTGTCATCCTAAACTTTTCACATTTTCATCCTCTCCAGATCCATTGGGCCAATGTCAACAAAACTTGCCACAAAGCATCTCTGGGTAAAGGGGATTCAAGTTTATTTTTAAATAAAGGGCCACTGCCTCTTTCAATGGGAGATAATTAAGAATTAGTGAAAATTTAATGGCATCTTTCAAAAATCTTCTTCTTCAGAACCACTTAGCCAGAATATTTGAAACATGTGAAAGCTTCATTACATAGTGTAGATTCAAGTTTGTTCAAATCAAGACCCCCAGGCTGGGATGGGGAAACAATGGATGATCAAAGTTTTACATAGGAATATATAGTAAAAAAAAAATCTGATGTAGAACAGCAAGGCCATAGTAGCTCAGGTGAGCATTATGGTCCATGGCTCTTGTTTATATATGTGATACTCTAAGAATGCTCATTAATCTTAAATAATAGGGTCAACAATTCAGCTAGTATATAAAGCAAGAATAAAATTGATTCTGTAGGAGGGTGTTCCTACTTTTAGGATAAAAAATCAGGATAAAAATCTTTTAAAAAATATAAAATTCATCTATTGTATTGAAAATTAGAAATTGAATATGCCATTTAATATTAAAATAAATGGAGAGCAGATTGAAGATATAATTTTCTAATTTCTGATCAATGGATACAAACTACAAAGAACTCCTGTATGTTTGTATAAATAACACACTGTTAACTCATTTTGTGCACAGAAGCCAAGTTCTTATACAAGTAGCAGCAGTATGCTCCAGTATATGTTGGCTGTCACTGTGTTGAAATCTGCCGACAGACATCTGAAGGGGAATCTTCCTCCCACAACTTGCACCAATGACATCAAACATAAACAACCGTGCGTAATATTTACACTTGGCCCAAATTCCCCATTTTTTACTAGCCGTATCTGTTGAAGTGTTTATTAAATTGCACTCATGGATTGAGTTAACCAAAACTGATATCATCTAATTTTTCTGTAAAAAAGTAAAAAATATCCATTTTTGCCATTGATTATGCAAGCTTAAAGAGATTGATTTGGCAGATTTGCTCTTTGTATGAGTCATGACTAAAGTGGTTTGATTGTAACAAATACTGAAGCCCATGAAAATATACTGTGAAATCACTAATTTTGGTGGGGGTAATTTTTGTTGATTTCGAGGTATGAAGAGACCCAAAAATTCATGTCCACCATGAAATGTAAATGTTGATAGGAACAACTACTCACCAATAATCAAGTCCCCATGAACCAATATTTTTTCCTCAAACCACAAAAATTTAACCCCACAAAAAAGTTGTTTTTACAGAAGTATGTGTTAGAAATATAGTACATGTATCAACTTCAGTCAAGGTCATATGAGACCAAGGGCACATGTTTAAGACCCATGAAGGACATAGTGTGTATTAGTAATAAAATGGAGCTTTTGAAACTTATTTACTCACTGTTAGGCATGTTTTTACTTCTTCTACCATTAAAATGTATAAGATTAGCAAATATACAAAGGCATAATTTAAGATGATTTACTTACTTATAACAAACGCAATAGTAAAAAAGAAATACCTCACCATAGTTTTATGTACTTCATGCTGTTTTTTGTAACAACAATCATAGAAGCAAAGGTTGAGTAACAAAAATTATCTGTGTACAAAATTCTGTCAAAGCAGGCAGTACAAAACATCAAGATTGTAGACAAGTTTGGGATACTTTCTGAATGGCTCAATACTATGCATCTTTATTGTAGTGATGAGGCTAACCAAACCCTCCCTGATGCCATACCATCCTTTGATTAGTGACAACAGGGACCTTCAAGGGGAACTACTTCATGCAATCCAGACCTCAGACATTGCTCAACCTGATGGGGTTCCATACTTTGGACTGGGAGATTTGTTAACTTTGCCACAAAATTTTGGGTAAATTTTATCAGTTGCTGTCTTTTAAAAAGGTAATTGCACATTATGAAAAGGTTTTAAGAAAAAATATTTTTTGGAGAAAGGAAAAAAATATTTGTTGGTTGTAAATAGATTAGCGAGTACTGGGATCTTTTAACCTCCAGACTCTAACTGTTAATAAGTCACATTCTGGCATAAGCAAGGAAATTGCCTCACATACGTAGATGTCAAAAATAATTATTCAAGACATTTGTTAATTGAAAAAAAAAAGCTGGGATATTTGGCATATTTTGAAAATATAATTTTTAAAACAATGTTATTTTTTTAGGTTACTTGATTATGAATTGAAGAAAAGAAAAAAATTGAGCTGTTTCATCATATTTTTTTTTCATTAAAGACAAATTTCATTAATTTGCCATTCTCTGTATGAATTAAAATGTTGAATATTTTGATCCTTACCTCTCATTAATTGTACAGGAACATTTTCCTTGGAGAGACGTTTTCGAGCTATATCAGCGTTCACAATGACAGTGTACAACAATGCCGAGACATCACTTTAAAGGTATAACCAACCATCTTCACTTAATATAAAACACATGCCCTCTTCTTATCCAAAGTTTCCAATGCACTTGCTCAGTGAAAATACTGCGGGACATTTTTTGCCCTATTTATTATAGAGATATGAAAAAGAGCACTCTGCCAGAACGCTGTTAATTTGTAATCTAATGGACTGAGATGCAGATGGTGTCGCCTGAAAATGCATGATACTGTCAGATCTTAGAAAATATTATTGTCTTTAGGAGATTTAGGAGTCATGTAATCCATGCCATATCATTTGTGGTACTTATCTCACACAAGTTTGTTTTTCCCCTGTTGAGCTATTATGCTGAAAGCTCACTGTTATGCTTTGCACTGCTTTTCATTCTTTATTCCAGAAATTTATGGAAAAAAATTCCAAGGAAGTAAATGGGCAGGTTTTTTCACCTATAATTGCTCCGTGTATCTTACACATGCTGTGGTTAGCTGATTGGGATGTTAACCTTATCAGTATATTCTTTTTGCTAGAAAGTGACTGAAGTTGGTGCCATTGACAAATGATATTTACCAAGGTTTTGTTTGCTGGTTTGTGAAATAAAACTGCACTCCAAACAATGCAGTATGTTGGATGTAATGCACTAATCATACCATACTGCCCACTTTCATGGTTAATATATATATATGTATATTTGTCATAGGAAATCTTCTTGATTTCTAAAAAAAATTGTTAAACATGTTCATGATAAGCAAAGTCTTCTACTTGAATTTGCAACTTTTTTTTTATTTCTTCAATCCCATATCTAGTATTGTTCATATCATGCCATAGGTCTCTGTAATTAGGTCTTTCCACCTTTCTGTGGAAAGACCTCTTGAAATGCTTATGTTTATTATTATTAGGTCTTTCCACCTTTCTGTGGAAAGACCTCTTGAAATGCTTATTAGGTCTTTCCACCTTTCTGTGGAAAGACCTCTTGAAATGCTTATGTTTATTATTATTATTATTATTCTTCTTCTTCTTTTTCTTCCCGGACTTTTGAAACCGCAAGACTTATCGAAAAACTTTATAGTTCATGAAACTGGACATTAAAAGTTATTTCGAAAAACGACCCCCCGAGTTTGACACATGACCTCTTACGAAGTTATTGCCCCTTTCGCAAGAATAGCCTGTTATCGCTACTCCTTCGAAACCATAAACCGTAGAGATACAGAACCTTCACCAATGTTTTCGACTACTCGAGAGGACTTTTCAATCTTTTCATTGCGAAAAGATTTGTCGAGCCCTTTAATAAATTACTGCCCCTGAGAGTTTTTGATGTTTACGAATAATGACAAAATTCTCTAAACGATAAGTCGTAAAGACATGGGACCAACTGCATTAGATTTTGTGACCTCTGACCTTGAAATTTTTGTGAAGGTCAAAGGTCAAGGTCATTCAAAACATGAGAAAATTAGCTTTTTTAATATCTCTTTTGTCTTTCAACATATACTGATTATCTTTGCATCTATAATATGTCCTTCTAAAACTATTTCAAAGATTTCATTCTTGTCCCCCGAGCTTGACCCATTCAAAAGTTGTCACCCCTTTTGCAACAAAACCTTGTTATCGCTACTCCTCCGAAACCGTAAACCGTAGAGATTCCAAACCTTCATCAGTGTCTTTGACTCATTTAGTGCTCTCTTCATTCTATCATTGCGAAAGCATTCTTTGGTCCCTTGTATGAGTTACTGCCCCTGAAAGTTTACGCTACTTACATTTAATGATCTTATGTTTAAAACGGTGTATCCTAGAGACATGGGACCAACTGCTCGGCATACTTGACCTTTGACCTTGAAATATAGGTCAAGGTCAAAGGTCAAGGTCATTTAAAAACGTAAGAAATCCCTTATATATGTGTGAAATATAGCAATTCGCCAAATGACCTTGAACTTTGACCTTGACCTTTGACCTTGACATTGGGTCAAATGGAAAAGTTAGGACATGCATCCGGCTCCAGTATCAGGTAAAAATACAGAAAGTAAAGATTTCTTGGGGGTTTTTTTGTGTTTTTTTTTTTTTTTTGAATGACCTTGACCTTTGACCTTGACCTTTGACTCAAAGGTCACAATTAGGCTTAAGGATGCGGAAGTAGTTACAATTCTTAGTTTGAAAGAGGCATCAAATAAATAATTCACCCCCCCCCCTCTTCAAAAAAAAAAAAAAAAAAAAAAATCAAATCAACAACAATGTAGAATATTACTCTAGAATTCAAACCAGACCTCGGATCGACACCAAATTTGGTACAAATGTAGTACAGACCTCAGAGAAACTTTCTGGAGAGTTTTACGGTGAGTCTTGTAAGTTTATAGAAGTCATGAAGTTTCACGGCAAAAACTACAAGTTCTGTTGTGTTTGAAATTTAAGTGCAGGTGAACGAAGAAATGATCTAAACCTTTTATCGGCTATTTCTTCAGATGTCGTTAGTAGCATTTAATTCTCCTGATATGATACGATATTTTAACACCAAGCATTCTCTCTTTCTTTTACATTTGGAATTTATTTGATTTTTATTTAGAATTAATCAGTTTCCAGAACTAGCGATTTTCGGTATAATAAAAACAATTCTCGCTTTCATTGTCGTGTTTCCCTTCTAGAAATGCATGTTGGGAATTTAATTTGGGCTACACATATTTAATTTAACCCAAAGAAATGCTTATTTAAATGTTTCATATTTATTTCAGGATATTCAGTCAGAAATGTTCAAATCCGAACCCGATCTTTTAAGCTTACAACGAAGCTATTTACAAAAAATTCAGCATGCTCACAATATCGATGAATCGGGCTTACAGTCCATTAATACATTTTCATTAGGGAACAGTGTTAACGTTTTCTCACGCAGCCCGTCCCTTGTTATTTTATATACTGCTTGCAAGTTCAGGAACTATTTCCTTTTACGGAACTTCTTTCTTCCCCTAAACAATTAACTTACGTATGTTATCGGAATGCGTGGCCGAATGGTTAGCGCACCTGCCTTTCAACCCAAGGGTTTTGAGTTCGAGCCCAGCTGGAGGAGCATTTTTTTTTTTTTTTTTTTTTTTTTTTTTTTTTGCATTATTTGCATTTCTCTCCTTTTCTTCAACCCAAATGACACGGAAACACTTAGAAAGGTGGAAAGGCCTCTAATTGTTCTCTGAACAATTAGTCTCCTAGTGTTTATTATTATTATTCTTCTTCTTCTTTTTCTTCCCGGACTTTTGAAACCGCAAGACTTATCGAAAAACTTTATAGTTCATGATATTGGATATTAAAAGTTATTCCGAAAAACGACCCCCCATGTTTGACCCATGACCTCTTACGAAGTTATTGCCCCTTTCGCAAGAATAGCCTGTTATCGCTACTCCTTCGAAACCGTAAACCGTAGAGGTACGAAACCTTCACCAATGTCTTCGACTAATTGAGGGGACTCTTCAATCTTTTCATTGCGAAAGTATTCGTCAACCCCTTTTATGAGTTATTGCCCCTGAAAGTTTATGAAACTTACAAATAATTAAAAATTTTCAAAACAATAAGTCGTAGAGACATGGAACCAACTGCATAAGATTCATAGACCTTTGACCTTAAAAATATGCAAAGGTCAAAGATCAAGGTCATTCAAAATATGAGAAATTAAGCTCTTTTTATATCTCTTTTGTCTTTCAACAAATCCTAAATATCTTTGCATCATTAATATGTCCTCTTAAAACTATTTCAAAGATTTCATACTTGTCCCCTAAGATTTACCCCTTTAAAAGTTATTGCCCCTTTTACTGAAAACCTTGTTATCGCTACTCCTCCGAAACCGTAAACCGTAGAGACACAAAACCTTAACTAATGTCTTAAATGTCTTTAGACACAACTTCAATCTATTCAGTGCGAAAGTATCCGATGACCCCTTATATGAGTTATAGCCCTTTAACGTCTTTGTGCTTACTATTAAACCTTATAACTTTAAAACTAAAAGTCGTAGAAGCATGGGGTGAAGTGCAATGTGACCCTTGACCTTTGACCTTGAATATTTGTTCAAGGTCAAAGGTCAAGGTCATTTCAAAATTTTGAAAATTTTCATTTTTTCTATCTTTCAAGCCATTTATAGATTCTTTTTGTATAAAAATTAACTTTAGAGAGTAAAATATGAAAAATATATGAAATTCAAAGAAGGTGGAAAGACCTCTAATTGTTCGAGAACAATTAGTCTACTAGTTATTATTATTATTATTATTCTTTTTCTTCCAGGACTTTTGAAACCGCAAGACTTATCAAAAAACTTTATAGTTCATGACACTGGATATTAAAAGTTATTCCGAAAAACGACCCAACGTGTTTGACCTATGACCTCTTACGAAGTTATTGCCCCTTTCGCAAGAATAGCTTGTTATCGCTACTCCTTCGAAACCGTAAATCGTAGAGATACAGAACCTTCACCAATGTCTTTGACTACTTGAGAGGACTTTTCAATCTATTCATTGCGAAATGATTTGTCGACCCTTTCAATGAGTTATTGCCCCTGAAAGTTTTTGAAGTTTACAAATAATGAAAAATTTTCAAAACGATAAGTCGTAGAGACATGGAACCAACTGCATTAGATTCTTTGACCTCAGACCTTGAAATTTTTTCAAAGGTCAAGGTCATTCAAAATTTGAGAAATTAAGCTCTTTTTATATCTCTTTTGTCTTTCATTATATACTAAATCTCTTTGCATCTTTAATATGTCCTCTTAAAATTATTTCAAAGATTTCATACTTGTCCCCTAAGATTTACCCTTTCAAAAGTTATTGCCCCTTTCACTGAAAACTTTGTTATCGCTACTACTCCGAAACCGTAAGCCGCAGAGACACGAAATCTTCACTTATGTCCTCAGGGCCTTTAGACACAACTTCAATCTATTCAGTGCGAAAGGATCCGATGACCCCTTATATGAGTTATCGCCCTTTAACGTCTTTGCTCTTACTATTAAACCTTATAACTTTAAAACTAAAAGTCGTAGAAGCATGGGGTCAAGTGCAATTTGA